ACACACACACACACACTACACACACACACACACACACACACACACACACACACGCACGCACGCACGCACGCACGCACGCACGCACGCATGCACTCACGCACGCACGCACGCACACACACACACGCACACACAGCCGGCTTTTATCTTACGGTGTACCATAGATCATGCAAAGAGCTTTTAGCATTAGGGTGCGCGGACGAAGCTCGCATGTTTTGTTTGAATGTGGTCACCAGGCGTAATAGGGCGTCGAAGTTGAGTGCTGCTTTCATTCAGCGTATTACTGTGTGGTACCCTCATCGCGATCGCAGCATGGCCTGAAATTTGACGGCTCGCTTTCAGATCTATTATATATTAAGCCTCACCGCCGGAGCCGAGAATTAAAGTGGGCGTATGCGATTATGCAACATGAGGCCCTTACCAGTTAGCAACGACGCTCCCCCACCTCTCAGCTCTGCAATCTTTGTTTTGGGCGCCATGCAAAAAGGCGACATTTTTGTTCGTTGTTCTCTGCTCCCAAGATATGTAACTGTTCACTGGCGGATCCAGGATTCCAAGGAGGTGGGGGTGAAAACAGGCGGGGGGTATGGGGGTCCACCCTCAAAAAAATTGAAATTGTAGATCGCAGGAGATGGTATTTGAGGCACTTTTGAGTACATGTACAGCTTTCATTCTGACTACGACAATTCTCATTTTAGTAGTACAATTCTTCTTCTTTTTTCACTTTCGGATCAACAGGGGGGCCATGGCCCCCTTTGCCCCCCCCCCATTAACTACGCCACTGTGTGGTTTGCTAACATGTCGCCACCACGCTATTTCAGTTTCGGTGAGGACTGGGGAGAGGAAGGCCACGTGCGCATTCTCCGCCGCTATCAGATTGCTGGCATAGGCAGCGATGCTGTGCTCCCTGTTCTACCTTGATTCATCCAACCAGGTGGCGCTGCAGGCCAAGGACATCATCGTGGTGGCAACATGCGTAGGTTTGCAATGTACGGCACGATTTGCTAAAGTAAAAATGTGGGAAACTGCTTAGTAACTACGATAACATATCATTTAATTTCATATTAGGGTTTACATGCATGTCTATACATATGCATACGCGAAAAAATGCATTATATGTAAACATATATGTCTAATAAAAAAATACTTTTTGATAAATTCTAAAAATAGTTAATCCTGTCTTATGCTTATATATATATATATATATACGCACGAAACACACGCACGCATATTGCTGCACACGCACAAGAAATCATCAATGCACCAACACGTACTCACATACGAAGAAAGCTCGAACACAAACAAATGCGTTTGTGTTCGAGCTTTCTTCGTATGTGAGTACGTGTTGGTGCATTGATGATTTCTTGTGCGTGTGCAGCAATATGCGTGCGTGTGTTTCGTGCGTGCGTGCGTGCTCGCTAATGGGTGTTCGCGCGTATGTATGTGTATACTGATGTGCGTATGTGCGTTCTGATGTGCGTTTGTGCTTACTTTGCCCACTGATGTGTGTATGTGTGTGTGTGTGTGTGTGTGTGTGTGTGTGTG